TATGCCATTAGTTATTCATATAATTTATTCTTTTTAATTTATAGAATATAGCAGGATCATAATATTATCCTGTTACGAAACTTAGCTCAAAGTAATAACATAAAACAAGAAGATAGATAACAATGTAGAGAGAAAGAGAGGAGAGAATCTTATTTCTTCATGTATTCAAGTGTGTACAATGTGATGCCCAAACCCTCTATTTATAGGATGATATAGGTAATACAAAGGGACTCAATAAACATGGTATTAACTATTGAGAACATGGGGAAGATCATGGAGGTGTGGGAGTTACATCCATAATGGTAAGAAGTAGTGGGAGGTTAATGGAGAAGAGTAGTGGGTGTTACTCCCTTAGGAGTTATGGACATCCACCATAATCAAGTATTTCATAACACTCCCCCTTGGATGTCCAAAGATAATGTGCCTCGTTAAAACCTTACTAGGAAAAAACCCTATGGGAAAAAAAATCCTAGTGAAGGAAAAAGAGTACACATATCTGTAATACGCTTTATTTGCTGCCTCGTTAAAAACCTTGCCAGGAAAACCCAATGGGATAAAACCTTAGCTAAGGGAAAAAGAGTACAACACATATTTGCCTCCTCCTGATGAAAATATCACTTTATTTCTCGGAGACGACAAATTCCAAGCTTGTCTAACAACTTCTCTAATATTGAGATCGGCAATGCCTTGGTGAATTATTCTGCCAAATCACTTGAACGAATTTCTTGAACATCTATTTCATCATTCTGTTGAAGATCGTGTCTTACAAAGAACTTTGATGAAATATATGATTTATTCAGTCTCCTTTAATATTCTTCTTTCAATTGAGATAAGCAAACATCGGCTTCTTCATTATTATTGGATCTTCTATTCGAAGAAAAGTCACACATCTTGTGAAATGATAATATGACAATTCCTCACATACAAATAGATTGTTTGAAGAACGGACTTCAATAAATGCCTGCATTTGCATAAACAACAAAACCTTGACAATATTTGTTAGAATAAATAAATGTATATCAAGGATTCTTTTTGCAATATAATACTAATCATATTTCAATATCTCCATATAGCCTTTATACTCTCAGTTGTTGGGACTATTCGTCCAAACTTCATACTTTTCAGATGAAGTCAATTTTCATTGCATATTTTTCATTTGGCCAATCATTTATCTGTCCAAATTCCATGACAGATTTGAGCTCAAGATCCTCGTCAACATTAATAGTATTGAGCGCCACATTATATCAAAAACATTGCCGACGATCATTTTACGCGGTTCCATCATCAGTCAATAAAGACATAACTTATCGAGATCTCATTATTTTCAGGTACCTGAGCCTCTCCCATGAGGTCTTATGAAGTGTTATGTCATGGTGCTCTTATATAGCAACTTGCCTCCTTATTATGACCATTTTGAATATTTGTTCCTCTCCTTCTTCAAGGTGTTTTATATTTGTAACCGATTAGTCTATTACGCTTCATGCGTTCCAATAGACTATGTCCATCATGGACTTTATTTTATTTGGAGTATTAGTAGCTGAAATATGACATTTAGTTTTGGGTCAGCAAATCCGCATGGCAATATTTTGCAAATGAATTATCACTTGAACTTCAAGTTCATATTTTCTTGTACGAGGATCTAAGTGTACTCATAATAATTCATTCCATGTATTACTTTTTTTAGCTGCTCATTTTCTCCCCTAATTTTGGGATCACCAACACATATCCCCAACCTTCTTTGGGGACCAATCTTTGTGCACTGTGGTGGCATAATTAAATCACATAGTACATCCATATTTCTAGATAAAAATATTTGATTTCTGACCTTGAACCAATTGTGATGGGGAGAATTTATCATAACTTGTTGGCTAGATGCGTACAAGTGCTGTTGTATATTAAATAATACACCTCATACCAAATTTCTATTTGGCAGTTTTGTTCTCATAACCAATGGTTTAGCTATAATTGGAGGCATACAATTTCTGCTAAACCAACTTGGATTTAAACCACCATTATCAAGATAAATTATCATAATATATATTCTGGAACTGTGCTCTAATAATTTGAGCAAGCAACCTTGCAAAAGTCAAATTGCAAGTTGATAACCAACGCACATGTGACCATACAATAGATGCATCTATTAAAATCATATAATAATAAACGGTCCACATGACAGGTGACTGGGCCCATATATATATATCACCTTCTATTCGTTCCAGAAATCAAGAGATTCAATCCCAACCTTAACTAGTATATCATGAGAATAAGCAGCACAAGAGAATTCTTGAAGAATCTTCTATTTCTTCAATATATGCCAATTTGAATTCTCAATTAATTTTCGCATCAATAAATCGGGATGGCCAACCGGTCATGCCAACCTATATTTATTTCAGTAAACATTTAATTTACTATGGCACGTGATTTCATCATCATGCTTATACATTTGTAGTACAAATAGAAGAAAAATCGGGTAACCTTTTATATTTACCCGGTATGTTATAGTAATATGAAGATAATCAATCTTCCTTTCATTTATAGTCTCAATATGCCAACCACTTTGGCTAATACATTTGAAACTCAAAAAGTTTCTTTTGAGACTTACTATAATATCAACGTCATGAACAATTTCATTCATCAGGGTAGTAACAAATTAGCTCTTCCGGAGCTCTTAATTGATTTTGTACTACAAGATCTTTTGTCACACCATTCATATGGTGAATGTCTCCTTTACGGAGAAAATCATATCATAATAATTGTCATGGTCAAAATCATCATAAGCAAAATCATTTCTTGCTTTACTTTTGCCTTTAATAACCTTTTATAAGGCATGGCGAAATATTTTCGGCGTACCACATGTACACGACCAATGACATATTCGTGTAACCACATAGTAATGTTCATGATCTTTCTTTCTCTCAAACCTCCCGTAGAGGTGAATTATAGTATTTATTCAACCATGCATAAATACATTCTTGTGCATAATTTGTATCACATATATATTTTCACATTCACTTCAGGAATGAGTCTGCATTTACAATGCTTATTACAAGTCGCATTCTTTCAAAAAAATGGACTATAATCGTCTGAACGTACCTTATATTTACACACCAAATTGATACACATTTCCTTCACCTTTGAAGGATTATTTTGAGAACCCTTATTGTTCTCCTTTTTATAATTATCATAATGATGACTATTATTATTTGATCTTTGGCACGGCCATGTTCATCGGTCAACCACTTGTCTTTATTTAGACCTATTATGCACCGTTATCATATTCATTTCAAGAATGGAGCAAATCAAGTGGGACACGCTTCATGCTTTTTCATGAAAAATACATAATTTTTCATTAGTCATCATTATATGATCAATATGGTGCATTGGGACTCAAACCCACTGCCTTACCCATATAAAAGCATGTTAGGCCATAATGCCTTGGAACTCGAATCCAACGTCTTTTCATCAACATAGTACGATGGGACTTGAACCCACCGTCTTACCCTCAATCTCCGGCATAATAGGCCAAAATTCACTAGGACGACATTTGAGCCTTTAAAATATTATCACGTGCGGTGGTCATAAACTTCTTAAAATTTTGTAATGCTAATGACATCAAACGTCACAAGACTTATGGAAGGCATCGCCAGTCGACCAATTCATACTAATCCTTTGTGGAAGGCTTGTACAGACCTCAAGGAGGCTAAGCACTTTAATTTATATTACCACACAAGTCCCCTACCGCATCCTTCAATCCAAAAGTTCAAAAAACAGATTTTCCTATTTCCCTGCATAACTCAGAATATTAAATTGGAGAGCTCATAAGAAAAGAATAAATAACAAATCACTAAGCACCCCGAAAATAAAGGAAAACTTATATTTCCTTGATTTCACATGTAAAAGAAATCAAGACACCATATTCCAACTAGAGAAACTTAAACCAAAATTACGGTCTAAAAACAATTATATTGCAAGGCCCCACATATAAAATATGTCATAGAAGAATTTGAATAGATGCGAAATAATTATAGTGAAGTATATGCATATCTCATGTAAGCGCTCCCATCGGTTAGCATTAATAGGAATAAAGATTAGTAAAATTTGTAGCACATCTAAAAACCATAGATTCTTAAGTTTCACTACTAGTCATAGGTAGTTCCTATTTACATCTAATGGCTTGTTAATCATAAGCTTTGAAAAAAAAAAATTCACATGATGTACCGGTACAGATTCATGCATCAACAAGTCCACATATTACACATAATTTAATGCAAAGATGGAAAGTTCAAAAATGGTGAAGAACGTATCTGTACACTAGAAAGTTTCTCCGCTGATGCATTCTTGGGTTTGCTGAGATAGCTTATTTGCGATCAATGTGGTGATTACGGTCTCCACACTCTTATGAATTTGTAGGAAGATGAGTTGCACATCTGAGCTTCCCTTTTCTTTCATGTGCTTATCAGAATATGATGATTGGCTTTCGATTGCAACCTTTTCTTATGTAGAACAAATTTTTAGACCTTTATAACTCAATTGATTAGAGACTCGTGCTGATAACGTGTTACGAAACTTAGCTCAAAGTAATAACATAAAACAAAAAGATAGACAACAATGTAGAGAGATAGAGAGGAGAGAATCTTATTTCTTCATGTATTCAAGTGTGTACAATGTGATGCCCAAACCTTCTATTTATAGGATGATATAGGTAATACAAAGGGACTCCATAAACATGGTATTAACTATTGAGAACATGGGGAAGATCATGGAGGTGTGAGAATTACATCCATAATGGTAAGAAGTAGTGGGATGTTAATGGAGAAGAGTAGTGGGTGTTACTCCCTTAGGAGTTATGGACATCCATCATAATCAAGTATTTCATAACAATCCGCACATTATGTGGGTACTAATACTAGTACTCCTAATAAAAGAATGGAAAAAGAGAAGCCACGTGTACCAACATTTTGTCACCGCCAGTCACGCTATAAGTCCCTAAGGAAAACCGACGACTGCGACTGACCCGATTGGAATTTGGATAATCCAGTTTCATCATAGATCTTCCTGCATAGGGCTTTGTTCGTTCTCTTCCCCAACTCGCAAAACCCCTCCTCCCAAATTCAGCTGAATCACATTAGGACTTAGAGAGATGCCGCAGAGACACTCGAAGAACAACAACGATCTCGCCTTTTTCACATACGATGAGAAGCGAAAGTTAGGGTACGGAACGCAGAAGGAGCGGCTGGGAAAAGACTCAATTAAGCCTTTCGATGCTTGTTGCCTTTGCTTAAAACCCTATATCGATCCTTTGTGTTGCCAGAAAGGACACGTCTTTTGCAAAGAGTGCATTCTAGAATGCCTTCTGTCCCAAAAAAAGGATATCCAAAGGTGCCTATTTTTGTAGATTTGAAAAATATAATTTTATTTGGATTGCCTTGTTTATTTTTATGCTTAAGGTGCGTTTGGTATGAATATGTCTTGCTTTGCCCTTACTTAAATCCTATGGCTAGCTTAGTTGTATCTCATTTACTTTGTAGTATTTCTCAATTTTGTGTCCAGGTTTGTAAAATTCTGCTTGTGAATGCTATTTCAGCTAAGAGAAACTGACAATATGTGTGGTTTTTAATTGAGGAGTGATTTGTGGAGGTTGGCTTTAAGTTAAATTTTCTTAGTAGATTGGTAAGTGGAACTTTGAGATGGCTTTATAATGCTGGGAGACTAGTAGTTTGAGGAGGATACTGCAGTATATCTCAAAATTAGCAACTACGAGGGTCATAGCTAGTGCTTTCATCCATTTGACACCAAAACACATAATATCTCATTGGTTAAGAGGCTCCTCTTTTTTTGTCCTTAATGTAGTTCTAGTTAGGATTTGCTAATTGTTTGATGTCTGAGGTTGTAGGATAGTGCTTATGGAGTTATGGTGCAGTGTATCTTGAAGAAGATCTGTTTGATATGTTCAGTGGTGGATGTAGATAATAACGTATGGGTTCGACTAAACCCAGCATATTTGACATTGAGCTTGGATATATGTGAAAACTAAAATTTCAATAAATGTTATATTTTGAATCCATAATGTTAATGATATAATGGGTTTGGTGATAAGAACATAAAGGTTGAACCCATCATGTTTAAATGTGGATTATTGAATACCGCCTCTGGATATGTTAGTCTATGTTGTGGTTGTGGAATTGACTTATTACATGCCATATCAATTAAGGGAGTTTTGGTTTAGCTGCAAATGTACCCATATCATTTGGACAGGGTGCTGATTTGCAAGATATATAATAGTGCATCGTTGGTCCCCAATATTGTTGTTTAGTTATTGATATAAACTAGAGTCTCTTGCACTTGCAAATTACAATAATTTGATGACATGGTTAGTTTTAAGAAGGGAACTATTATTTTTCAGCAGCTTCTTTAATGCTATTCTTTACTATTACCACTATACCGAAATGCAAGTACAACAACTATGCCTCAATCCCAAGCAAATTGGAGATGCTGTATGATAATGTGAATCCTTACTATCCATGACACCATTTAAGCTCATTTCAGTCCGATACTAATATGGCAGTGAAAGAAAAAGAGGATAACACTGAAATTTTTCACGAGCCACCTTAATGTTTGCCTTCTATTATTTTGATGATAATATGCTAGTCAAAATTATTTCTGGTCTCCAAGTCCAATTAAATTGTGTCCCATAACTTGGTGGGAGAAGGGAGTACTAGATAAACTAGCTAATAAAGGTCTTCGTACTGAATAGTGAACACTTGTTTGGAATCCCTTTCAAGTGAACACAGCAGCCTGTTCGAAGGATACAGCTACATGATCTTAAGTTGCAATGTCTGTTGCTAGTTCCTCCTACTAATAAAATAGTTGTCCACATTCCACCTAGAAGGGATAACATTGACTAATACATCTGTAGATCTTTCTTCAACCTGCACTTCTCTGATGAAAAAAAAGGCAGTGAGGAGTGAAAGGGGGTGTGGGGTGGGAACATACTTGTGTGTAATCTCAGAATCATCCTTTGGAAAATTTCATTTGAGAAGCTGTTACTTTGTCTTGCAGAAAGTTGGCTGCTCATGCAGCTCAGCAGAAGCAAGAAAAAGAAGATGAAGAGGAGGGGTTGATGCTGCAGAAAGCCAGGGAGCTTGAGGCATTTGATCAACAGAATCATGGTCCAGTGCCCCAGTACAACGATAAGAACTACAACAGAGACAAGAATGGATTCCATGGGGCCAATAGCGTGAAGACCACTTCTTACGAGGAGGAAGCACTTAGAACCATGAAAGCATTTTGGCTGCCCTCTGCAACACCAGATGCACCTGCTAAAGTGGATGCCCCATCCACAAGCACAGTTTGTCCTGAAGGGAACGAAAAACTTAAGATGAAAAACCTTTTCCCTATTCACTTTACTGAAGATACCAGTGCACAGAAGAAAACCAAGTCTCTTGACAAGAATTTCATATGTCCCAGTTGCAAGGTCACACTAACCAATACTTCGTCACTTGTAGCACTTAATACTTGTGGACATGTCTTCTGCAAGAAATGTGCAGAGAAATTTGTGGCTGTAGACAAGGTTTGCGTGGTCTGTGACAAACCATGTAAAGATAGAAATCTGGTGAATGTGGAAAAGGGAGGAACAGGGTTTGCTGGCCATGGAGATAATCTTGAAGCAAAAGACTTCAAACACTTGGGGAGTGGAAGCGGGTTGGGCCTGGTGAGACCTGCCATGAAGACATAACCTGCAGTGTGCCAGCTTGCGCATTAAAGTGGTTTTGTTATGTTGTAGTAAAATTTGGTTTTACTGTCTTCTACAAGGAACGCTCAGTATTTTCTTTCGTTGTGTTTGTTCAACTACAGCTCTGTGAAAGCAACTTCTGTAACTTATAGCATTTCCATTTCACAAGGGTTCTATTTCATATGAAAATTGATTGAAACTCGCTCCTCCAGCGGTAGCTGACGCTTTTCATTGTTCGTTTAGTCACTTGTATCTTAGGCAAACTACCCCATCCACTCTTGGAGTTGGATGGAGCTATCAGTTTCATATAACTGTATTTACGTTGAGGGTTGGTGAAGGGAGAGGAAATTTGCGACTTGTTTTCTGTCAACCTATTCTCGACTCAAAATCAAAACAACTTTTCATTCTTTTTAGCTAAACATTAATCTCATCCCCAAGAACAATTTCAAATTTCTTTTCATGTTTATTTTGGGGGCTGATTTAGAACTCAAAAGCCAAACAGCAAAACCGGAAGTATGATAATGAAAAACTGAATCCTGCCGTCCAAAAAACATAAACAAAAGTAGAAATTTCCGAGTCATGAATTGAACTCTAATAATTAAACCTATCAAATATTAGGTCAAGTGTTTATATTCCAGGAATGATCTAATCAAGTGAAGGAAAGTAGGTTGAATATGAAAGCGTCAATTTTGAGCCGCTCAAATTCTATAAGTATACAAAATGGCATTATCAAATATCCGAAAGCGAAAGATTGAGGAAAAACACATTCTCCTAGTCGGCCACAACTTTAATACAATAGTATGGTCAATTGGTCCATGTGTAGGTGACCTTTTGGAACTCGGGGAAATAATGGCCAAAATTGTTGCAACTTACAAAAAGGCTTACCATTCATGTGCAACAGTTGAGGTGTTTCATCTGAACCTTATCCAAATAGACAACTCTTTTATCATTGTCCTCTAGGCCACTTTGGTTCCCCACCACTGCTTTTGCTTTATTTTTTAAATACAAAAACATGGGTAAACCAACTTGGACTTGATCACGAATCCTTCCCCACCTTTGAAAGGGTAAAAAGGAGTAAATGCACTTTCATTTCTACAAGTTCTTTTTGATTTCCTACTTTATTAAATGGTGATTGAACCATCTCCACAACTTCAATTAGGGTGCTAAAAAAAAAAAAGACAAAACCTGCTAGTTTAAAAAATAAAACCGTTCCTGCTTCCTTTTTATTTTGTGAATTTATGACCAAGGAATCCTTTTTGTTATATGCCTTGTACACACCCAATTTTTTTTTTTTTTTAAATTTATTGTTATTATTATCTAGTTGTATTATCATATTAAAATAAGATGTACTACACTCTTAGTGGGTTCATGAGTTGAATCAAACGAGACCTTTTAATTTAACTAACTGAACATAGTTAAACTAAGGTTTCATGCTCTTTAAGTGCCCTATAAGTTCTTTTTCAAAAATCAAGATGGGTCTAATCAAATAATAGTGGCTTCAATGATTCGAACGTGTACGTGAGTTTTAAACTGTGACATTTTAACCATAAAACTCTTCCCTAAAACACTGCTTTCAGTTTGTGTAATTGTTGTGATAAAGGAAGATTTGCATAAGAGAACATGTTCGATTTTTGAAAAAGTGAAAAGTCATCAAACAAGAATCGAAAACCTCGCCTATTTCCTTCTTCCGTGTTTTCAGTAATGCCACCTTTGAACGAAATTCCGTTTGTATCAAAACCGCAAATAGAAATGACTAGAAAACGATAAATTGGAGTTACGCTTTTGTACGCAGAAACCTGAAAAAGAGGCTATAGGAATTGTGGCAAGTTGTATTACGTGAAAGGATCATTTACTTAGTGAAACTTTTATGTTTTGTTAGCTTTCTGGTCTGTTTCAGCTTTACAGGTAAAAATAGCACGGTCTAGCCAGTTTTCAGACTGGTCATTCAAAAATAGCTAGTATTTACCAAGTCAATAAAAAATAGCCACTATTTTGCTGCAACAGAGACCGGTCCAGCATAATATACTGGAGTTCGGTGCACCTGTGTATGAACTTCCAGCATATTATGCTGGAACTCCAACACACGGAAAGTTCCAGCATAATATAGTGTAGATTCGAGCATTTGTGTATGAACTTCCAGCATATTATACTGGACCGGTATTCTTTGCTGGAACTCCAGTATATTATGCTGGAGTTCCAACATACTTATCCTGGAACTCCGGTATAATATGCTGGAGTTCAAGTATACTTATGCTGGAACTCCAGCATAATATACTGGCGTATTTTTTGGGTTTTGGACACTATTTTCGCTCAAATTTATCTTTACATGAAAAGTGGCTAGATTTCGATTACTTTTGAAACTGGGCTATTTTTGAACGACCACTTAAATATGACTATTTTTGAATTTCTCCCGCTTTACAGCCTTGCTTGTAGGAGCAAGAGTTTTTGTTCTTTATATATATACGTATTTTTATTTATTTACATACATATAAAGTTTGAATTAGACGTAATAAATTCGATCCAATTCGTTGGCGTTAGGAAGAAAGGCGGGGTTAGTGGACTAACATTTTCTTTGCATCATTTAAACTCCATGAAAAAGATTTTAAATTTTAATCATCTTTCCGTCCTCGTCCAAACAAATCAAATAAAAGATAAAATTTATTCAATCATCAGCCACAACTAGCAGAATTATTTAATATAAGTTGCTTTATTATTGGTCATATTCATCATCCTATCTTTATATATAGACAAAATAATATTCTAACTCTATTCTCAAAAAGGATCCAGTAACAAATTAATATTTTATAACGTTGTTTAGGAATCAAAGAGCATTTAATTCATGATCAATAATGATTGAGACCCCAATAATAATATAATTAGCACAACACCCACCAAATACATACAACATATAGATACAGCTAATAGAAGGTAGGCTGGCTCCAGTTCACACTGCTATCATTAAGTCAACCCCTTTCAATTTACAATCCTTTGCTTCAAGTGGTCCAAAAATAACAATGAATGAAATCAAAGAATAATTAATGCAAATCACAATACTTAGTAGAAATATTTTTTTCTCCTTAATGAACTTACACGGTAAATTCGAATTAGTTGAGCTAATGAATTATAAATGCCAAAAACCTTAAAATAATTATGAATTAATTTAAATTAAGTTAAAAAGGACCAAGCTTTTTAATTAACTTGGCTGCACGCTTATACTTTTTGACTTTTTATTTCATATAGAGTTTGAATAAAAAGAGTGAATGTAGGCACATTATTATCACACACATACTTTTGCTTTTAGCTATTGTGAGTTTGATCGATATTATCTTCTAATTAGGTATTGCCTACTTTACTATTGACGAAAAAGACTTTTCATATTCGATGTTTACATGAAATCATCTTGATTATTATGCTATATATAACTTAATATGAGTAAAAAAAATCCCAGCAAATATGAGTAAACTCATCATAGTTAAATCTGTAGTGTGTATAAATAACATTTACCATGTAGTATTATTTAGTCTAATATAAAAATCAGTGTGTATAAGTTTTTCCTCTTTGACTTTGTGGAAAAAAGAAAAAATTATGATGGTGTGAATAAGACTAAAATAGTTCCTCTGTTAATCCAAGAATCACATGTTGCACTAATTTTTCCCCATATGATGCATTAATTAATGAATGCTTTTCTTATTGATTTAATGTCAGTCAGATATATTTCTCAAGTAAAATCCCTCCAAAGCTATATTCACGAGCACACGTGTCACCAGCTGTATCTGTCATCTATAATAAGGGGCCCACCATCATTATTTCTCGCGCCAACCAAAATGCCTTTTTATTTTTTGCCAATAATAGAATCGCCACCAATTATCCAGCCACCATATCCTCCTCCCAATAAATAACTCAACAGATTATGCTCCACATCGATCCTCATTACCAAATATATAACTTTGTCTCAATCCCAACAATTATTATTGCTATTACATAACTCATCTATATCTATTCCGTTCTATTCGGACAAAACTGCGCCTCAACCCAGAATACTAATTCCGTTGATTATATAAATCTGCTATAACGAGAGGTGCAGTTGAAGGAGCAATTTTGGAAGAAAATGGATGTGATGGAAAAGAGAGAAGTGGATGAAGAGGGAGAGAGGTTGTTGGAAGGGGTGAGGGTGGTGGATTTTGATATGTTGTGTTCAACGGTGGCACTACAAGCACAAAAAGGACAGTGGGTGAAGTTGAATTTGAATAATGGAGATGAAGAAAATGTTGGTTATGATTATGGAGGAGGAGCTGTTTTGAGAATGTGGGAAGGCGAGCTTTTCTGTGACTCTCTTGAGGACCGTCGCATCGCTATTCAATCCCTTTGGTAAATTTCTCATCTTTTTTTCCCAGCTTTCCTGTTGATTTCATGTTTTTGTTTTTTACATTTTCGGATGTGGTTTTTTGATTTTGGAGTATTTGGTTACGATATTGACTAGAATTTTCTTACTTTTGTTGTGTCCTTCATTTTGCTGCTCCTCCATTTTTTATTCCTTTTCTCTTTCTTGGGTTTTGTTAATTGAAGTTAGTAACTTTTTTTCAATTAGGTTGAGATTGAGGTTTGGTTGAATCGATTGATTAAATATTAGTTTCTAATTTGGTTCTTTGGAAATTCAAGGAATGATCTTCTGTATAGAACAGATTTGGAGAAGATAGTTGGGCTCTTTTTCATTTCCTCTTTTGTTTTGTTAGCCTCTGTTTGGATTGGGGACACCTTTTAGGAAGGTGTAATTGATTTCAGCTGATAGGGAACCATCAAACCCTCTTTCAGTACAGGAAAATTTACTAGTCTTGCTTGAATTTTCTATTTTTAGCCATGAAATGGACTATTTTAATTTCTCTATTGCACATTTTTCTCTTGTTCTCAATTCATCGTCAACTAAGTCATTGTGATTATGGTGGTGATTTTAATTTCTGTTCATGTATTGCAGCTGCCCATGGTACAGATTTGGGAAGAATATGAAACGTGCTGGTTTTGGTTCCTGCTTTGTTCAGGTCAATATTTTTATCACATTTAAATCCATGTTAGTCAATGTTGTTAAACCTACCCACCCCCTCAACTTCTTTCTGATCCCTCGTGGTCAAAGTCTTCTTTAAATCTGTTTCTATTATATCGATTAGCTATGGCCTCTTTTAATTATGTATTGTAGTTGGTAAACATTAATCTATCTTAAAT